CCGAGCCCCCCCTCCGACTCCGGGCGCGTGGCTGATTTTGTTTCCCTCTCTTCAGTTTCAGGGCGCGCACGATGCCGCCGCCGGCAACGCCACCACCACGCGCCGCCTCGACCGCCGCACCAAGGTCAGTTCACACCGTACGCGCTGCGCCCTGGTTTTGGGAGCTCACTTGTTGTTGGTCTCACCGTCTCACACAAAGGCCTCCCATGCCTGTTCTGTTGCTTCCCAGATGTTCTTCCACACGGCACGCGGCGTCATCGGCGGCGGAGGCGACGCCGGCGTCGAGCAGGAGTCCGAGCTGGGCCTCTTCGACGCCTTCTTCGCCAGCCTCTCCATGATTCTCGTCAGCGAGGTGGGCTGCCATTTCTCTGATACAAATGCAGAAATGCTACCACTCCAGTGTTTCTGAATTGCCCTCCTGCCTACTGTTTATGTTCTTATTACCGGGTGCTGTGTGTTCATGCTTTGCTGGGTAAAGATTGGCGACGAGACGTTCATCATTGCGGCTCTCATGGCGATGCGGCACCCCAAGTCGACGGTACTCTCTGGTGCGCTGTCGGCGCTGGTTGTCATGACGGTATGTGGAACCGCAGCATCTGTTTGTTTGGCAGAATAGGATTGCAGTTTAGTGTTAATTACTCCTGCTGCGTTCTGTGCTGTTTTAGGTACTATCAACTGGGCTTGGCAGGATCGTTCCGAACTTGATATCGAGGAAGCACACTAACAGCGCAGCAACTGGTATTGACTTATCTGATTGTTAGCATGATGTCCATTGATTCTTCAAGCTGGTCTGAGGTTTTAGGAGTAGTAGATTTATATTGTTTTTTGAGGAATCACCGGGGGGAGAGATCTCCCACCTGAATATATTGCTCAAAAGCGGCCAAAGCCAAGAGTTACCTCTTAGGCTTGGCTGGTCCAGTTTATGAGGAAAACCGGATTGAAAACCTAAACAAGCTGGCCCGTTTATGAGGAAAACCGGAGCAAAAACCGTGCAAATAGCAAGGCTAAAGGAAGAAGAGAGAAAAAAGGATGCCCAAAACAAGGCACGCCTAGCTAGCAGACACAGGGCCAACGCCATGAAAGCCAAGTAGATGTGGGGTGTCGTCAAGGGATCACAATACTAGAACTTTGCAAGGAACCTAACGCACCGCACTAGCGTGCGCACCGAGCCCCACGGCACAACTCAGGAGCATCGACCATCAACGAGTGCCATAAACACGAACCTTGACTGGGAGCTCCGCCATGAAAAACTCAGGACGATTAGCAAGTTGGGGAGGCAACTTGCGCCATCAATGAGCAAAGATGAACCGAGACATCACCAAGAGCACGAAGCTCGCCGCAACACATGGGAGAGTCTTGACTATGCAGAGCAACAAAGGCGATACTCCTTCACAAGGGGAAAACAGATGGCTGCTCTGCGGCACCAAAGGTACCGCCGCCGACCCCCAAAGAACACCACCAAACAGCCACCGTCGACCCCAAACGGCCGCACCACCACCACCACCACCATCTCCGCAGCGAGCAACACACACACACACACAACAACCATGCAAACCCCAAGATGATGCCTTCAAGAAGGGCTACGACGCTGGTTGCGTCGCCATCATCCGTACCAGGAGAACCTGGACTAGGGGTTTCCCTCGGGGAGCCGACAAAGAGGGTAAAACAACATGACAACGATGTCTCCAAGAAGATTAGCGGCGCCCACAGGTGTCGCCATCGCCGGCTCCAGATGGAGCAAGGCTTTCACCATAGTTGATCAGACAACCTCTCGACGGACTGGTTGAGTGACAAGGGTTGCTCACCTGCACCACCACAAAGGGCTATTGCAGCGCCGCCACCGCTGCACATAGCCAGATCTAGACCACTGCATCGAATCCATCCATTGACGAGGAAGCACCACGAGCCGCCGCAGCCAACCGCACCTCACGGCGACCACCAACGGCCAAACTTCAGCACTAGACTCCAGATCCACCAGTGGTCGTCCGGATGCAGGGCCACCAGGCGCAGCGCGAGCCGCCGTGCCTTGCTGAGCACCATGCCGACAAAGAGCAGAGGAACGCTGCCCGAGGCCAAGAACCACCATGGTTTCGAGCTGCAGCCATACATCAGTCACGCACCACGCGCCACTGCGTGCCTGCCGGAGACCAGATCCGTTGTACACAAGGCAAGAAGCTGTCTTTCCATGCCCAACCCTCCGTCTGCTGCACACAGCCTAAGCTCCCAGCAGCGAGCCGCCACCTCGCTGCTGAGCAGCAGCCACCACTGCGCCTCGAGGCGCCAGAATGGAGGCATCGTGTCTGGATCCCCGACCCATCTGGTCGGCGAGAACCAAGGCCAGCCCCGGCCGCGCGCAGCAAGACCCAGCAGCCACCCGCCCCGAGGCGGTGCCCGTGGCAGGCCGTGCGCATGGATCCAGGTGCGTCGGCCAGATCTGCCGACGGGACGCAGCCACCGCTCCCGCAGCATCCACCACGGGACCCGAAGACGCGCGGATCCAGCCCATCCATGTCGGCCGCCGCCGGCCACGCCTCCAGCTGGGCCGCTGCCCGCGCACCCTCGCCGCCGCGAACGGCGCATCTCGTCCTGCGCCCATGGGGCGCCCCTGCGTCCACCGCAGCTCTCCCCACGCCACCTTTGG